GCCTGGCAAAATGAAGGCGTGGTGCTATCAACATGGTCTATTACCCCGCCTTTTGTGGCCTCTGCAAATGTATGAAATTGCATTATTTCGTTATGAGCGCATTGAGCAAGTGATCAATAAGTACTTGCGTAAGTAGCTTGGAGTTCCTCCTTGTTTTTCGAAAGTGGGGCTATATACCAACTCCGGACATCTACAGCTCCCTATACATTCATTGGTGGAGGAATTCAAGGTTGGGAAGGTACGCCTTCATATGATGATGAGAGACTCAGCTGATGATTGCATACGGAAGGTGCATCCAGAGATTAAATCTGGTACAAAGTGGTCAGCTGCAGAGGCCACACAAGAAGCAGAAACCAGCCTGCGAATCAGAGATATCATGGGCCTGATTCAGAAAAATCGGGCTGGATTGGGTAACACGACACACAAATACTTCTCCAAGGAGAATGCAAAGGGAAAAAGGCGTATGGTAGTTGAAGAAATCAAAATGTTCGAAGAGGAGCGTAGAATAGCTACTGTTATTACTCAAGCGAAACAATGTAAGTGGGCAACATGGAATGATATTGAACCCATTAAACTTTCGTGGAATTCATTAATTGCGTTGGAACCATTTGCGATATCTTTCCTTCTTCGATCTACATACGATCTTCTCCCAAATGAAACAAACCTGAAAATGTGGGGATACACAGATACAGATCTCTGTTTTTCGTGTCAAAAAGACCGAGGTACCTTGCGTCATGTGCTTTCTGCTTGTCCACATTCGCTCCATATGTACACATGGCGACACAACAAGGTATTAGAGGTGATAAGGGATCTAATAAGGACACAATGTGAGAAAGCAAATCAACAGCTTGTGGCAACCAAGGAAACTAAGATTGAATTCCATAAGGAAGGGGAATGCCCTGCCAAGAAAAAAACAAACAACCCCCAATATAAAGCTGCTGAGTGGTGCCAGTGATTAGAAGGTTTCAGTGGATCTAATGATGTCCTTAAAATTTCCAATACACATCGCACAGACAGACAAGCGTCCCGACATTGTGTTGTGGTCCGACTCTAAAAAGACTGTCTTCCTAATAGACCTAACCGGTACGAGTCACTGCGTGCCGAATGTATGGAAAATGGTTGGACGTGTAACGTGATGCCTATTGAGATTGGGTGTCGTGGGTTTCTGGGACATTCGGTCATTTCCTTCCTTTCAAAAATAGGCATCACTGGCCATTGGTTGAAAAGCGTTTCGCATCGCCTTCAAAAAACTTTTCAACACGCGTCAAGTTGGATTTGGTCGAGATCAAAACAAGCAAATAAAATGCGCGCAACATCACGACCTAACATGCGCAAGTGAGATATTTGCGTGGTCGTCTATGGCGACTTTTACGAGCGCGTCAATAACAGCAAACGCGTTCAAGAAACTTTCATTGCAGATAGATTTTACTTAAAGAAACAATTAGTTAGCTTATCTTCATACTCTGCCTGGTGGCAAACGCTGCTGGTGGCGCCAGGGGTGGCGGTCCCGCTATAGCCACCGAAACCGTGAGATCACCCCTGGTCGGCGGCTGATGAAGACAGGGTATCGCACGTGCTAACACACGTTGTATGTTAAAAAAAAATGCTATATTTATGGGTAAAAGTGCTTTATATCAAAGATACAGTCTATGTAAATATAAAAGTAGACACTGGTGTCAATGCCATACAGTGATATTTTGTTTCATGTTTGAACACAATTTTCAGGCTGGAAGCATAAAATAGACTTTTACCATATGGTCTTGACCTCAGTGTCCACTATATATATATATATATATATATATATATATATATATATATATGTGTGTGTATGTATATATATATATATATATATATATATATATATATATATATATATATATATCTATATACTATATATTTATATGCAATCGTCAGGCCTGACGATTGCATATAACATGAAACAGACTGTTGCCTCTAAGTGTTGACTTCTATGTTCACTTTTATATTTACACACGCTCTATCTCTGATATTGAGCACTTTATTCCATAAATATAGCACACCTTAAAACTATATTTTTTATATATATATATATATATATATATATATATATATATATATATATATATATATTATTTCCTGCACAATGCCAAAGGAAAAACTACAAAATACACAGAATAAAACATAAAAAATTACAACAGCCATAACAAAAGTAAACATATAATCCTACCTACAAACTACATAACAGCCACTATTAAAAATAATTTGTCCAACCTTGACCTAAAATTCATCAACACCACTTCTAAAACAATGAGAGATATAGTTAGCACTAAACGAGATAGCAACAAGACAAAGGTAGAAATATATAGAATAGATTGAATATAATGCTTAATGATGTACATCACCAAAACACCCATAAACCTAAAAAAAGACTATATGAACACCAGAAAGATATACTGCATAACAATATTTTAAATGCACTGGCAGCTCACCATGGTACTTCTGACCACAATTTCAACATAATAAATGCTGGTTCGATCAGGAGAGAAAAGGGATCAGGAACTGAGAGTGCACTAATCTCATAATTCTTAACAGTAAACTTAAGATCAGCTCCAGATATAAAATCACTAGTCAGTTTATTTGGCAACAAATATTCATAAACAGAAGTGAAAGTGTCATTAAATCTTTAAATCTAAAAACACTCATAAATATATTTCAGGTTAATTATGTAAGTCATGGTAAACTATGGAAGATACTAAGTGATGCAATTTAATGCTTAATAAATGAAAGTGAATAAATATTTTGGTTGTTTAATTTTTTTTAATTTGAGAAAATTAATTTATGTATTTATTTATTTACATAATAGAAGGCTTTGAATTTAGCCATTAACATTTATTTAAAAGATTTTTTATGGTCATCAAAGGAATATATCTTTTAGTAAAGAAGATCTTTGAAAAAATCTGGTGTGGAGATTTTCATTTTGGTAAAATTCATTAGTGGCACTCTCAAGAAATTTCAATCTAATTTACTTTCTCTTTTAATAAGTGTGCACATTGTTTAGTTCTTAGTTGTAGTTGAACTTATTGTTATGTATGTCTAATGCATTTGATAAATTGTTATATATAAGATATTGTTTTGTGTGTTCATAGATGTTTTTAAAAGTTTCTGCAATTTTCACCAGTATACTGTAGGGAACAGTCATAACGGTTTATTTTATATATTTTTCTAGTTTTATATACCTGCTTCAATAATAGGAAACCATATGTGTGTGTGTGTGTGTGAGTGTATATATATATATATATATATATATATATATATATATATATATATATATATATATGTGTGTGTGTGTGTGTACTTATTCATATATATATATATATATATATATATATATATATATATATATATATATATATATATGAATGAGTGTTAACTTGTAGTTATTTACAATTTGTCGACCTGTAATTTTTAGCAGGGCAGCTAACTTCTAAATCTTTTTTATCAATTTAAATTTTATTGAGAGTTTTTGTTTAAAGAATCTTGTTTCTTTATTCAAGTTGAAATATATATATATATATATATATATATATATATATATATATATATATATATATATATATATTATTTTAGATAAATATATAATATAAATATTTTTTTCTTAACCTTGACAGCTTCAACCATTGGGAGAGGGACCTGAGGACAGAAGAAATTTTGAATTTTATTCCTCATGATACTTTCAGTGAACTTTCCGATAGCTTGGCAATGCCCATCTCCTTCCCAAATTTTTATATTACATGTATCTATACATACATATATATTACATATATATTTAAGTAGTAATTTGTATTTAAAAGATCAACAGATCTTTCTCATATTAATTCTTTAAATTCAGTTAGAATAAATTTAAGGAATACATTTTTCTTAATTTTTTCATTCTGTACAAGATATCAGACCAGATATGGAAAAGAAGAAAAATTAAAACTATTCTACAATTGCTACTCTAAGCATTGCTCCTTGGGTTGTGTAACAGCTCGGAGTTTTGTTTAGAAGTACAAAAAATGAAATTCGGTTCAAATTCTGGTCAAGTCTGTTGCATTCATGTTGTACCCTGCCCTTGGCAAATGCAGGAATATGCTTATCTCCCAACTATGGGTAAAATATTAGTAAACTGTTAGGGAAATCAGTCAAGGGGGATAACTCTGAATTCAAAACTATGGTGAAAGCAATGGGCAACTCTTGCCATAATAAATTTACTCAGGAATAGTCAAGGCTATTCACAGATATTAAAAAAATATAACCAGTGGAGTGCCATTTTTTTTTTTTTTTGAAGTGATATAGCATTATAAAAAATGTAATTTTTGTCAAGCGATATATTGGTTCCCAAATCCCTCAAATTTCAAAGAAGAAATAAATTTGAGAGAAAGAAGAAAAATACCAAGAAATGGTCATTAGATGTGAAATGTGTTTAATGGTAAAGAAAGGGATAAAACATAAGAAGAAATGAAAAAAAGAGAAAGAAAAGAAACTGAGAAAGAAAAGCAACAGTAGTGATAGAACAAAGATAAATTCATTTTTTAAGAAAATATTGTTTTTCATTTTCATGCTTTCTCATCCACCCAAGATTTGCGTTAAACTGCCATCTTTCTGCTCCTCCATTTTGAGTGGCTGTTTAAGATCAGAAAAAACAGAAGTAGCCATGTTAATTCTATAATAAATTATAAGAATAATCATCCAGTGAAATATGTTTCTCCTTTAACATTTTACATTATAAGAGTGAAAGTTTTCTTATCAGTTTTTTTTAATTTTTGTTTATTTCTTTATTCACCTTTGTGCATTGTCTCCATTTCTCTTTTTCCATCCTTCTTTTCATCTTTTTAATTTCTTTGATCTTTTGCTTCATTTTTATTTTCTCTTTACACTTTGGATCTATCTCTACTATTTACTTCTATAAACTTTCATTTTGTGTTTTGTTTTTCTTTCCATTTCATTTACCCATCTTTTTTCTACTTCCTTGTTTCTTAGAGTCTTATATTTATCCTTTCCTCATCAAGTTTTACATTTACTGCTTTCTTTTTGTCTTTTCTTTATCTTTTTGTCTTTTGCTTTTAATCTTTTTGTGTTTCCTTTTTATCTTTTTGTCTTTTCTCTTTTTGCCTATTCTGTCTTTTTGTCTTTTCTTTGTCTTTTTGTCATTTGCTTTTTATCTTTTTGCATTTCCTTTTTATCTTTTTTCTTTTTGCCTATTCTGTGTTTTTGTCTTTTCTTTATCTCTTTGTCTTTTGCTTTTAATCTTTTTGTGTTTCCTTTTTATCTTTTTGTCTTTTCTCTTTTTGCCTATTCTGTCTTTTTGTCTTTTCTTTGTCTTTTTGTCATTTGCTTTTAATCTTTTTGTGTTTCCTTTTTATCTTTTTGTCTTTTCTCTTTTTGCCTATTCTGTCTTTTTGTCTTTCTTATCATTTTTTTGCATTTTAACTTTTTGCTTTTTCTCTTTTTGTCTTTTACCTTTTTGCCTATTCTATCAGTTGTCTTTTTCTTTTTTTTCTTTCCTTTTTTATCTTTTTTCTTCCTTATCCTATTTTTCTCCTCTTTTATCATTTCTTATATCCCAGCTACTTTAGCCAAGCTATGATTTTCATTATTTTTCTAACTTTCATAATACTTTCTTCTTTTTTCCCCTTTTTACTGATGTTTCCTTTCTCTTTGATTTTAATTTTGCTTTTCTCAAGAAAAACAATTTTCCTTTTACTCCTTCACCATTTTCTCTTCATTTTATAATCTTTTCTGATTTCCTCTCTTTATCTTCTTTCTTTACTTTTGCTTTATTTCTTTTTCCTTTTTCTCTTTGTTTTTTGGCACTTTTTCTTATATTATAACTTCTATCTTCCTTATATCTACTAAACAAATTTCCAAATCTATATTCTTTCCTTCCTTTTCTTTATATTCTTTTTGCTTGTCTTTCCTACCAACCATTCACTTTATGTTCCCTTATTTTGATAATCTCTTTTCCCTTATTTCTTATGATACTAGTTTTTTTTTTCTCTTTCCATCTCTCTCTTCTTCTTTTTTCATATAGTCTTCTCTCTTTCCCTACAATTTTGCTTTAAACATCCACACAGTCCTCCTGCCCAGCCACAGTTTCACTTTCACTCATTGTTCAACTGAAAGGGCCACATCTACAGAAGAAGCGGAAAAGCAGAAAAAGATCGACAAAGGAAACTAAGAGTAAGTCTGTAGAATAAATTATTGAAATAGGAGGAAAGTATCCAAGTCAGACTGGCAGACAGACAGACAGATCGGTGAAGTATGAGAAAAAGAAAATAAAGGAAAAAGAGGCAAATAACAGAAAAGAAATCATTTTGCCCTGTTCCGTTGCTCGAGTTATAACTTGATGATGATTATGAACCAATTAGTGGTCTTAAAATATATGTTCATTTACTTGAAAGACAATTTTCAAGTGGCTTCTCTTTCAAATTCTCGATACTTTCTAGTGCAGTTCTGTAGCTTTGCCTGTTTGATTATTGTACAATTTTATTTTCTGCAACATTTTTGGATTTTTTTAAAATATGTTTTGCTTGAATAAACTGAAAAAGAAAGGAATTAAAAACCAAAACTCTAAAAAGCAAAGAAAATAAAAAAACTGGATAGTAAATACACTAACTTCTGGATGAATAAAGCCATAGACAGGCTGAAAAGGAAGAATGATGGGACAAAAATGTGGATAAACTTTTATCTGGAGAAAGTTGGAAAAGAGGATGTGATGTTATTTAGAATCTATATACAAATACAAAACACAGTGTGTATATATATATATATATATATATATATATATATATATATATATATATATATATATAACAAATCAATTTCCATGCCTTATACAAGTTGAATTTATTAAAAACAGGGATCATAACGTTCATCTAGAGGTTTGTGGGTTAATGTAATTTTAGTAAATTTATTTGCAAAGATGTATTCTTTCTTGCCATTTATATCATTAACTTCACTAATCTGTTTTTCGTATGAATGATTCATGTAATATATATTTATCCATATCTCTATATATGCACATTGTGTGTGTGTGCAAATATGCAAATCTCACTACCTGAGAGGTTGCTCTTGCCTGGGTACTCAACAATATTTGTCTTTTGCCAGTATAAACTAATCTTACTAACACTATTTACATTAGTCAGACTATTGTCCTCATCTTTGTTGCCATATTTATTACAACGTTTCACCCGTTGTACACTCCGGCTTTCTTCAGGTGATTGGAATGTCAAACTGAACTCTCTATTTTGCTCACTGGAGTAAACTGTTCTAGTTCTACGTGCGATGTTTAATTGATGTCAGTTATCAGTTATCTCCTGTTAATTCCCCTCTCCAAGTTCTCCACTGCCTTAACCGGGAATTGAACTCACACTCTTTGGGTCTTGTCACTGGATCTAACCAACACATCCGAATAGTCTGAATAATGTAAATAGTGTACATAATACCTCATCTCAGAAATATAGACAGATACTAATCTTATTAAATTTGTATATATTCATATTTGCATACACATAGACATAAATTCTTATTTACATATGCATAAAAATATAATCAAATTTGCATACACATAGAAATATATTTCCTTACAAAATTCCTCCTTAGTTTTTTGAACTGGCTTAGAGGTTCATCCCTTATTTCCTGTTTAGGAATGGGTTTCTGGTCCCTTCTAAAGTTTACTTCAACTCTATACTCCTAAAACCTTTCCGCCAAAACTCTGAAATTTTATTCACTAATTAAATCTTAACCTCTTCAAGCCTAGAATTAACTGTCAATCTTTCCTGATCTCTTGTCCTTCCTTATGCTAATACAACTGCACAAAGTAACCATCTACCTTGAGTGGCTCTTGGGCCTTGTATTGGCTGAACATTAATAAAAAAATAAATGGAAATATAATCATATTTGCATAAACATAGAAATACAATAATATTTACATGCATTTACAAATATATATTTATTTGCATATACATAGAAATATAATCATATTTGCATACACACAGAAATATATTTGCATACACTTAAAAATATAATCATATTGGCAGACACATAGAAATATAATTATATTTGCATATTCATAAAAATAGAATAATATTTGTATTTTTATTTGCATACACATAGAGATATAATCATATTTGCATACACAGTGAAATATATTTACATATACATAGAAATATAATCATATTTGCATGCACATAGGAATACTATAATATTTACATACGCATACAAATATATTTTTATTTGCATACACATAGAAATATAATCATATTGGCATACACAAAGAAATATAATTATATTTGCATATTCATAAAAATACAATATTTGCATACACTTACAAATGTATTTTTATTTGCATACACATAGAGATATAATCATATTTGCATACACAGTGAAATATATTTAAATATACATAGAAATATAATCATATTTGCATGCACATAGGAATACTATAATATTTACATACAAATATATTTTTATTTGCATACACATAGAAATATAAACATATTTACATACACAAAGAAAAATGTCAAGTGAAAAATCAACCATTTATGCGCAAACATAGAAAGTCATCATCTTTTCTGAAACTTAAAAGCTTGTTGCTATTACAAACATATAAACATAAAAGGACAATCATTTGTAAATATTTTCACATATATAAATGAATTTAGAATTATAACATTAACAAAAATGCTGTCACTTACTTTGAAAATGCTAGTATCAAGGCAAAAGTTAATTTTACAAATGTTTTCTGTAGAAAAAGATTCAAGTAAAAAAATGTATTTTAATTGCTTTAATAGTGCAATAAAATTATGCTGTCAAAATTTTAATCCCGTGTTTTAGAATGTTTACTTATTTAGCCTTGGAAATATTTGGCAAATTAAAAATGAGAAAAAAAAGCTAGAAAATGATAAAAAGGGAGCAAATTAGAAAGAAAAATTAAAAAAAAAAAATGAAAGAATGACAAGAGAAAAATATTTTTAAAAAAAGGAACAATTCACAAGTAATATTTTAATGCAGTAAATAAAAAGCCAAAATATGTCAAAATAAAGTCAGTAGATTTGATGAATGAAAACGACAGACAGGAAAAAAAAAAGAAAAACTTTAGGATGGTGTCAAAAGGAAAAAGAAGCTCTGAAAAGAATACAACATGATAAAAACAATTATATGGTAATTAATTAATTTTCAGCCATCAAGAAGACATTAAATAGAAGGACTAGAAAAACTTACCATAAGAGGTCTGATAAAAATAATTTCAGAAGACTGATGTATTTGCAAGAACAGCGACAAGTTTACAGGTTTATCATGAAAAACATAGGCTCAAATTTGAAAGATTAAATTTAAAAATTAAAAAGATATCAGAAAATATTTTCCAGTAGCCATGCTTCTTCACTAATTATATGTTTACATTTGAATGTGGCTAGGTGGTTACAATGATCGCATTCTGACCATGAGACCTGGGTTCTAATCTTACCATGGCCAATTTGTCAGGAAAGAAACTTCCTGATGTTATCAGACTGGAAGGGTCAATACCAGTGTGTGGCATCTTTGGAAAGTGTCTGAAGACAATACTACAAGTTGACCCAAGGTTTGTGGGTGAAATTGTGTAGACGGTACACTTGGGTGCTGTCGATAGCTGTGTTAGCATGAAGTCACAAGTCATCGTAGCTGAGGGCTTGTGTGTGCTGGCCTTGTTCAAATTGATGATCACACTAGATAATATGCTCTTCCCCAGAAACTGTAACTAAGGTCTGCTCGGCATAGTTGCAGTATAAACCACAGGTGGGCTCTGTGGGTGTTGAATAAACAAAAATGTGCCTGAGCAAGCATCTGTAATAGGGATGGGCTAGCCACCCTAGTAAACGCGTATCCTCGAATATGAGTGGCCACCTATACATATGCACTTGAACTAATTTTAGTGATATCTGAGATATCTGTTAATTTTCAGTTCATATCAGAGTTCTGTGTTTGAGTTCAGAAAATTTCCAGA